CACAGGTGAAGCACTTAAACTAAACAAAATAAAAGGCAAACTGAATAAAAGTACTAATCCAACCAAGAATCATAAAATCTCAATTCAGATACCCAATTTTCCCGATCAACCAACTTCATCTCCCACTAGTTTATGGCCCGTGCATTTGCACGGAAAGCTATATGATAGAGGAAAAAAATAATCAAAATATTTGAACAATAGTAAAAATCATAATATAATCATGCGAAAAAAAATCAAGAAACATTAATGTTGATAGAGGAAAAAAGTAATCAAAATATTTGCACGGAAAGCTATATGATAGAGGAAAAAAATAATCAAAATATTTGAACAATAGTAAAAATCATAATATAATCATGCGAAAAAAAATCAAGAAACATTAATGTTGATAGAGGAAAAAAGTAATCAAAATATTTGAAAAATAGAATTACCCGTTGTTGAAATTGTTAACCAACGTTGTCGGTGTCGCATTTTCATTGTCATCAATTGTAAGATCAATTAAAGGTACTGAACCGCTCCAAGAAGCATTAGCGAGGTGGGATATAGAACTGTTTTGAGATGAACGTTGTGAATTTACGAAAGGAACACCTAAATGAAAAAGTTAAATAACAGTCAATGAAATAAAAACATATTAAAAACAATATTTCTTATAATGACACGGATACTTAACAATTCTGAAAGATTTAAAACAATTAAACAAAATACATACACAGTTCTTGAATGATAGAACATGCATTAGTAGGAACTGGTGGTGTTTGGAACGAATGTGTTACAGTAGAGAAATAAGATAATGTACCTATATTAATTAAATCCATATAGTTGAATTTATGATACAACATCTATAAATTTAAATCATGTCAAAATAAATATTTTAAATATTTGTGAAGATTTAAAATGGAGAAAACAATAAAACATTAAACTTTATTTTTTATAATATAACAATCACTACTATTTGTATTAAATTTATTCACGTAAAAGTCTTACTTATTTAGATTATTATTTTTTTACTAAAAATATTTGTGGTCAATATTTATAATAATTCTTTTGGGTGCTACATCTCATATCAAACAATATTGAGCCAGGAATTTTAAAAACATGAGCCCAATTTCAATTGTTGGAAAAAATAAAGAATATTGGGCCATTAATATAAGGATAACTATTATATAAATTTTTCGGGATTTACATAATATGTAAATAATATAGCCTAGCCCAACTAAAGGTCTTTCTAGAAATTGAAAGCTGATTTGAGACACGTATATCACATCTAAAACAAACGCGAGACGCGTGTTTATGACCGTTCGCGAACTTCTTTTAATGAGCGAGAAACCCTAATAGCTGGGGTTGTTTCGCCACCAACTCATGTCGGCGCACTTGTTCTATGTCAATTTTTCTCTCATATGAAACACACTTTTTCGACCTTTCGTACATCATTTTCGCCGAGAACCTAATCGAAAATATAGTTTTACAGGAGATTCTTTGACGCTTCTCAAACAAATGTCGAAAATATACCTGAGTTTTTTTTTTCGACCAAAAAGAGAGATCGACAAAGAGATATCGACCCGTTTTTATAAAATCGAAATACTAAGTGATAGTATTTCTATTCAAATCGGGTCGATAAATCCTTAGATCTTTCAACATCTGAAGTAATTTCAAAGTATTTAATTTTAATTTGTTGTAAATAATATTTTGTTTGATTTTCTGAAGGTTTTATGAAGTTATGGACAATTTTGTTAGCAGATCTGTGAAGATCTTAAGTTAAATCAATTTTTTTTGTTTTTCATTTGTTTTAAAAAACATATTTGTTTGTTTTTCCGACTGTTTAAGACGTTTTCGATTTTTTTTAGATCTGGTAGGATTTTTAAATTATTGTTAAAAATCTATACTCGTATAAGCAGATTCAAGTTCTCTGTTGTTAAAATTATTAGAAATTGTTCAAGGTCTTAGTAGATCTGTTCAGATTTTATTAGGTTTAACAATTTTTTTTTTACTTGCAGAACTTCTTGTTGCCATAAAGGGTTTGGACCGCGAGCTCGACTCATTCAGAGACTGGTGACTAAAACCCTCAGCTCAAAGGTAAGCTTTGTAGTAACAGTATTTGTTTTTACTAATTATTACTAATTACTCATTGCTATATAACTAAAGTCTTCAACATTTGCTTTTACTGATTGCTACTCATTTCCGGCTGGACAATAGAATATGCAGTTTGTTTATAATTAACATTTTAGAGAACAACATAATTTATAGGTAAAAATAAATATCAATAAAAGTGAAGGATCTACCGTCTTGAAAAGCCTTTGTTCGGCAACATTGAACATTGAAGGATCTACCGTCCTGAAAATCTCAATTTTTGGCTACTAATGCAGAACAGATCAGGGAATGGAATGAGTGTTAGTGAAAATTCAGTTGGCTATTGATATAGGAAATTTTTAACAGGAGCCATCAATAGAAATAAATTTGATTGTTTGAGAAAATGAGAATTATATTTGTCTACAGAATAATTATGTCTACACAATGATTTTTCGAGCCAGAAATGTCGGACATTTATTTTTGAGATTAGTATACCACATTTACTTTTTAATTATTATGAGAGTTAATTTTCAGATTATATATCAAAATTCTTTAATTTTTTCAATTTCATTTTCCCGCCTACAACTTGTGTTTGGAAAATATAATTCTCTAAAGTCTTATCCAAGATACTTTTTGTTATTTAATATTAATTGGCATATTTAAAATGTGCTATAATCATGGATATTAAATTTTAATAATTAAGTCTACATAATGCTTTTCTTTGACTGAACAAATTTTAGGACTTTTTAATTATTAGAGTTATTTTTCAGATTAGTATACCAAAAATATTTCAATTGTTTCAATTTCATTTTCCCGCCTCCAAGTTGTGTTTGGAAATGTAATTATATACAAAATTTTCCATGAATTTTTTGTACTTTCTATTTCACGGTTCATATATTTTAAGATTTGTAACTTTAATTTGATAATTACTACTAATTTGATAGGTAATTTTTTTCTTTTTGCAGGAATTGCAAGCACTATTGCTGAGAAGGAGTTTTTGAATTTTATCATTTATAATTTGTTTTTATGGTGGTTGTATTTTCATTTATTTAATTTTTATTTGTTGTTCGTTAATTTATTTCAAGATACTATGCATAACAAAATAAATAATATACTGAGCAGACTAATTAATTGTTTAAAAAAATATGTGAACATTTTCAATAACTCCAATTAATGGCAGAATTGTTTTGTTTCCATGTTTATGCATTTATTCACTCCCAAAATTGAGCTGTTCTTGAATGAAGAAAATAAAAAACGAAAAATAAATAAAATGTAACTGAAATGGGCGGGAAATGAAAAAAGTGCCAGCTAGGTAAAATTAAATAGGTTTTCTTTAATGTTTTGAGCTAGTAATTATATATATATAGATTTATGAGAGACTCTACGAAGCATAAAATTTTGACAAAAAAAAAACGCAGCAAATATTTCAAGCTCGATTATTGCCACTGCCGAGCGTGAGCTCAAGATCATCCATGCCCACCTCGTGAATCATCTCCCCTTCCCACGGCTTCACCGCCTCAAGGTCGAGTACTCCCAGTGGCGGGCCCTCCGGCTGGGCTTCTCTGGGCCTCACGAGGTTGAAAGTCGGCGCCCGACCCACAAGCCCGAAAGCTCATCCACCGGCCCGAGTCCACAGTGGACGTTTCTGAATACTTGTCAAACTCAGGGATGGTGACTAACGGGCACTGAAGCTGCATAGAAGGGGACTAAAAAGAATTTACAGTCACCGTATTATTCAAGAAGCAAAGCTTGTAGTTAACCGAACAATAACCGGCGCTTGACAAACTTTGAAATTCTTAAACTCGAATCTTTCCTCTTGCCTTGTGAAGAAACTCGACTGCTTCCAGCAATTTCCAAGAGCACCAATGCCCATGTCCCGTTTAGTTTGTCCTTCGAGCCAAAACCGGTCCCCTGGCGTCCAGCCGCTCACCAGTCAGCAACCCCTCTAACCGGAGCCTGGCCGTGAACCGCCCAAGTTCTGGCCGCTTAGTCTTCCATTCTACGTCGGAAAAAAGTGAGTTTTCTTAGAAGATAATGAAAATTTGTTAGGAATGTCGACGAAAAAAACGTGAGACTTGCTCATGAAACTCATCAAATAACCATAAATCGTCTTAGAAAATAATGAAATTGAATGTAATTATATAGATGTTAGGAATTCCATTTTTAATGATTTGGTAGGGGCGTGAAACAGGGGATTTTATTGTGCATTTATATGTTATGCAATCGGCAAAATTGGACCAAATATTATAAGAAAGTAACAAAATCTCGGACATATATGCAAACATCAATTATTGACCGATTTGAAATTTTGTTTTGAATTGTTTGATTCAAATTTCAAATCAATCCGCCACTTTTCAATTTTTTTTTTAAAAAATTTACTATAAAAGGTAAAAACGAATTATTTAGGCGGGATTTTTACTTCTATTTCAGGTAAATCTCAAACTTTTTTATATTATTATAGATTAAATGAAAGTGGATGGAGCTGACATGACAATAATTAAAAAAGAGTCACAGTCTAACCTTAAATCTAATTTGACAAAGTTAGGGACCATAAATGATTTTGATTATTTTTACTTAATTTATGGGATAAATTTTTTTGTCCCATTTGAACTATCACTGTTTTGGCGCATCACCATAACTTTTTTTTTTACAAACCACCATCTAAACTATACGGTTTGTTAAATTGCCCTAAATCGGATATAAAAGAGGTTTTGACTAAAAAAAAGTTGATTATTGAGAGCATTAGAGTAATTTTATATATTTTTAAAAAAGAACAAAAAATGAAAAATGAATGGGAGAAAAAATGAAAGATGAACAGTCAGCCCTGAGGTCCGTTGAAATCTCCGGCCAGCAGCTTCACGCCGACCAGTTCAGCCATCCACGTTCAGTGACCCATGTCCGGAGATTCGCAGTCTGTACAACCACCGTCTGCAAGCCTACGACCTTATGTCCGCGTGTCCAAGCAGCTCGACAACCATTGAGCAGAAATCGGCCAGTACATCGCCATGGCTTCCAACCGCTGCCTTTGGCCGCAAAATGCTGGGAAATACAGTCGTGCAAGGGTTAGCCATGTCATGCACAGAGATGTCTTCGGTCGATCCTCTGCAACCAGCCTTCAGCCATCCGCCATTAAACTGAAACGCGTCGGTTGAACCTCACAGCTTTACCTTTATTGTCTGTTCACCATTCCTGTCATCTTTCTCACATCAACCATCGTGCCCCCGATTAGCAATGCTTGCCGTTGTCGGCACTCCGCTAGCAGCCTCAGCTCGACACTCAGCCCACAGGCATCTCGCACAACCACCTCCGCTGCCCGATTAGGTAGCAGCGGTTCCACGTTCAACGCGCCGACCGTCAACCAGTCCATCGTCCGGTTAGTAGCCCGACTATCCACAACCGTCGCCTACCTTCGGGCATGCTTGGGACCAAATTCGACGTCTATTCGTTAGGGTCATGCTGCTGCGAATGTGCTCGATTGCACGGTTGGGGACTGGCCAGTCGATGAATGCCTCTCACTATCCAAGTTAGCTTTTAAAGTGTTGTGAACTAAGGAGGATGGACATGCCCGATCTCAACTCAATGATCCTAACTGAGCTCGAGAGGCTGAGAGACGTGGGATTGGAAGTGTCGCGTGGGGTGAGCTTTTTCTATGCACACTCGCAAGGTGATTGGAAGTCTCATGATGCAGTTGAGGTCAAATGGTGGAGCGGCTCCTCCTCGACGAGGCCCGCCACGAAGCCCACGACGAGCTCGACGTGCAGAATGAAGCACGCCTTGATGTGCGCACAGCTCACGTCGCACGTGTCGGTTTCCACTGCAAATGGGAGGCGGCGACGGAGGCCGCCAGCGGCTCCATAGCCAAGCACGTCTCCGACGGCCATGAAGAAGGCGAAGAGTCCACTCCCTAGCGTAGGATTAATGCATATTATCGGACCATGTACGTGTCAATGACCACACTACGACGACAACACTCTCTGCTGGCGGTCTACTGCGTGGGGCGAGCGGTGCCTGCACCTGGAGAGCGGCAGTCTACTTCATTTTTCTTATTTATTTTATTTTGTTTTTTGAAACCAGCTTCTTTATTTTTTTCATCTTTTTAAATATATGAAATTATTGAAATCTCCTCAAAAATTAATTTTTTTTTAGTCAAAATCACTTTTACATCCGGTTTAAGGGTAATTTGACAAACTCGTATAGTTCATATAGTGGCTTGTTAAAAAATATTTATATGGTAATACACAAAAATCGTTATAGTTATAGTTCGGATGACAAAAAATTTATTTCCCTTAGTTTTATTCATTTCATCAAAGGTATGAGCATAAGCCTTAGTGAAGATATTGTGGATACTCTCGTGTCACAACAAATGTATACCAAAAACATCATTGGGCAGCTGGAGAAGTACTAAAAATTGCACGAACACAGATTTGATGGAAGTCCGCCTTAATTGGGAAAAAATGGCAGGGAAAATCTTATTCCCGTTATTTTCGCCGCCGCAGCTCCTTCCCGCCTCTCACCGACCCCCCACCGAAATCCGTTTCTCCCGGTGGAACAACTCGAAATTCCGCCGTGAGCGTGGGCAGGTACAGAAAGAGCTCGAGGACAAACGCCGCTTCGAAAAACGATTCGATTCCGCCCTCACAATCGCACACAATTACAACCCTGCCCCTCCCCTCCCCACCACCTTCAAATCCACCGGCACCCCATCGGCCCCTTCGTCCCCTTCCATCCCCGGAAAAGCTTCCAAGTACTCCAAAAAACCCCACCCCGCCTTCGAGCCCCGCAAAATAAAAGTCAATAATAATGAAAAAAATCCAACTCAAAACCAGAACCAAAATTCAGCTGGCCTCAGTTTCAGAATCGATGAGAATGGGGTTTCTTATGAGATGCCTGAGGCCCCCTTCCTGTATCAGTATAGTTACACGGAGACACCTAAGGTGAAGCCAGTGAAGCTGCGTGAGCCGCTGGTGTCCCCATTCGGGCCTGACACCATGTCCAAACCATGGCTGGGCCGGAAGCCGATGCAGCCCAGCAAGAAGAAGCTTCCAGAATTCGACTCGTTTAATCTGCCACCGCCTCATAAGAAAGGGGTGAAGCCAGTTCAAGCACCTGGGCCATTTCTTCCTGGTTCTGGTCCTAAATACGTTCAGTCCCGTGAGGAGATCCTTGGGGCGCCTTTGAGTAAGGATGAAATCGAGGAGCTCATGAATGGGTGTAAAAAGACTAACCGGCAATTAAATATCGGTATATATTGTTATGGTTGTTTGTTTGATTGATTGATGCAGTGAGTTTACTGATATACTCTTCTTGAGTATCTCATTGCTAACCTACTTTTCCTTTTCATATGCTTCTTAAGCTAACCTACTTTTACTTTTCTGTTAATAGGCTTCTTATACTAGTATGTGCCTATTTTAGTTATTCTTGGTTGGGCATGTTTTAGCAAATGGGATAGTAATATCTTAAAGGATGAGAATATCTGCTAGCCATAAGAATAGATTTCAACTTTAGGGCACTGCCTCTAGTTTTATAAGCTTTGTCATAAATCGCTGATAATGATGGTAAAAGGAACTGTCCTGCTCGTATTGGAAATACTTGATAGTCGTTGCGGAGGAATAATGCTTTAAAAGTTATAAAAGTACTCTGGTTTTATGTTTTTCCTAATCCTAGGAATATCTATGTGCGGAATTTGGTTTGTATTATATATAGCTCTTTTTCTTGAGGTTTTTTTCATTAAGAAGTACCAAGTAAATCTAAAGTTTGTCCATTTTACTGCATCTTGAACTATTATTTTATTTTCCTCTTTAGGAAGAGATGGCCTAACACATAACATGTTGGACAATATACATGCTCTTTGGAAGCGAAGAAGGGTCTGTAAAATAAAATGCAAGGGAGTATGCACTGTGGATATGGACAATGTGTGTGAACAATTGGAGGTTGGTATATTCAACTTGCTCCCTAAACAAAGATTTGATGTCCTGTCATTCTCTTATGCACCGTGTGTTGTGTCAGTGTGTTCTTACATTGTCTTCTTCTTTCAGTTTGTTGATAGACTATATGTTTTTTATTCATCCTTTATTCCATTTTGTATAACTTAAGAAATTGTGCATATTATGTTGGGACCATAAAATGGTAGATTTCTTTTTTTGTTTGTAATGTACCACAAAATGTATTTTCGTTTGTAAATGGGTATTTGCCATAAAAAAACCTTTAATCAGCAATTAATTGTTTAGATTTCACTTTTGCTGTTCACTTGGATATCTTCTTCAACTTGTCTGTCTTCAATGGTCTAGAATAACATTAGCTTATATATATGCTTAATGCTGTCAAATCACGGGATCAATTGGAAGACTGTCAACCTGTATTTATGACTTCAGAGCTGTGGACTTGGGCTCTATTGGCAGCAGAATGCATTTACTGAAACTTATTATTTATAAACAGCATAATATGTTGCTAAAAGGAGTAGTAGACTCAAAACTAATTATGTCAGTAGCAATGACGATGAAGTTAGGGAGTGATTGGATATGAATTCAATTTGTAAAAAACTAGTTTTTTTTAAATTATAGTTAAATTTGAAAAAAAGTAGTATAGTTAGTTATTAGTGAATATATTAAAATAATATTTAAATTAAAATAATTAAAGTTGATTTGATGTAAAAGTAGGAGAAAAGGATTGAAAGTGATGGTTAGTTAAAATTATGTGAGTGAGTGAATAGTGAATTAAAGTTGATATGATGTGTAATAATGATTGTTTGATATTATTTAATTATATCTATAATATTGAAGATAGTGGAGTTGAGTTAAATTTGAGTTTTGAGTGGGATATTTACTGTACAAATTATAAACAATCACGCCCTTAGTTTCTCAATAATGCTGAAACATCCTGTTTAGTTTACAAAAAAAGTAGAAACCTTCTGGTAATCTAATATTAACCTGGAATAAGGAGTAATCTACGTGCTTCACACCTTCACCAAGAGACCAATAATAAAATGTGAGTCTTTTATTCGGGATCCACGGATTAAGACTTGGAAACTGTACAGAGTTTATAGTGTCAGCTGTCATATTTATTAAAGGTGCATGGCGGGCCGTGGCGATTTGGTCATGTACAAGACCCGAAAGATGGGTAAACTATCAAATCGGGGCCTGATTTTTTTTTTTATCTGCAGGTGTATTTCCTACGTGGAAATATTGTGACATGGAGTCCTTGGTGTCATATGACGTGGCATTGGCTATAAAATGTTGATTGCCACGTCACAAAACCGATGCCACATCAATTTACCGACACGCCATGTCAGCGTCATCTGGCCGAAATGTTATTTCGAGACACAATTGCAAAAATTAATAAAGGTTTGGTATTTTTTTGCCAAATTAAAAAAGGTGGAGTTTTATTTGCAATGTAAGCAAAGGTTATGATTTTTCCTGCAATTATCCCTAATATATATACATATAGTTTTATTATGAAACCAACAGTTGGCTCCATAGTGGAGTCAACCTTCTATATACAATAAATAAATCATATTATATTAATAAAAGATTTTATTAATTAGATTAAAGTCTTCTAATTCCTATTTCATTCAATTAACATCATCAACAAACATACAAACGTGTATCATTCATCCAATAAAATGAATTATGGATTGAAATACAATTTTGAAAAAAGAAATCTTATTCCATCATCATTTGCCTCCTAAATTAATTAGCTTATAAATTATAGAAATAACCTGCCCATTTTGTGCATGTTATATTTCAACTTCTCAACAAATTATGTCATAAAATAGATCAAAATAAAGCATCAGATTCATTAAAATAATATCTGTAAATATGGTTTTTATTGTAAATTTGAATGCTTCAAGATCCTCTTCCATGAAAAAATCAATAAAGTTGTTAGGAGATATGTACAATTGAAGTAAAAGACAACGTAAACCTATCTTTACTTTTTCCAAGGTGCTTTTCTGGAATAGACAAGCATTATTGTAGATACAAACTCTTCATGAACTTCAAGTGGCCCAGCATGTCACATTGATATTAATCATGTTAAGTAAATAAAATAAAATAAATCTTAATTAAAGCAAGACTTTTTTTTATTATAGGCATCTACACGTGTTTGTGACTGTGTCCATATATATATATAAATAAATAAAATATTTAGCGTATAGTTAAATAAAGTTTAGTTGGTAAGAATGAGAACACCTGTTTTAGGTTTAAAGATTATATGTACCCACTTGCTTTAGAAAAAGTCCCCCATGCAAATAATGCGTAGAAAAGTTTCGTAATGTTAATCAAACAAAGGCATGCATGCGCTGATGTGGGTCCTACCAAAAAATAATAATTAAAAGTTTGAATTAATCTCTACTTTATTTATTTTGTGTTTGACCCATCTTGACTCTATGATATCTAAATCTTGGGTTTGTCTGTTAAAATTATTAGGTATAGCGGAATCTGAGGTCAACTCATGTCTCGATGTACATATTTTTCTTTTCTGAGATTTCGATGTACATATAATTAATGTAGCGTATATGTACATATAACATTTCTTTTATGCGATTTCGATGTACATATAATCTCTACTTTTCTGCGATTTGATTTCGATGTACAAAAAGTTTTATTTATATATTTTTTTATGCATATATTAATTATGTATTTTCAACCAAAAAATACATAACATATATTAAATATGCATACTAACATGTTTAACATATTTTTATAATATAAATGATAAATTAGTTTGATTATTTGGGTTAATTTGGTTAACCAACAAAATGGCTCAATTGTTTCGATTTGAATTTAGGTTGAACTTGAATAATAAAAGAAAAAAAATCAACACAGCTGAATACCCGGTAGTAGTATTAAACAAGATGCATGTTAGTGACTGTCAAGTTGCACATCATTGTTAAGCGTATTGCACAATAATGACTATCAGCAATGACGAATCCACATGGGGTCCAAGGGGGGCATGGACCCCCCTCACTTTTTTTTTGAAATATCATTATATATATATATATAAAAATAAAACACTATAAAATATGGATAAAAATGCAAAAAAATATTTATAATATATAAATAATTAAAATTTAGTTTTCATGATATTTTAATTTAAATTGACATAAATAATTAAAACTTAGTTTCTATGCTATTTATTGAAAAATATACTAAGGATCCTTATATTTTACATTATTAGATAAATTTTTAAACATATTTATAATGATTTACTCTTTCGGACTCTTAATTGTAAATCGATTTAGTGATTTATAAAACCGAGTATTTAGTTGGATTGTTAGATTTTTTATTGTTTATTGTTTACTTTATTTTTTTGTGTAGTCACATATTTTTAATTTTATTTATTTTTTTCTTAAGAAAAGTGGTCGTTTGATAAACTCTAATCAACAAAAATGCAATGCAACGTGTTTTAAATGTTAAATTTAAATCAAATTTTAAATCAATAGATGTTGAAATTAAATTATAAATACATGAAATCTCTTATTTTTTGTTTATTTTTGTAAAATTTTAATGGTGATATAGATTCTGAATTTCTTAAAACTTGATGTTACATATATCGATATTTATATTTATAAGTACACACATTTTTATATGAAATATATGAAATGAGCGTTTTGACTTAAACTACAAGCTCGTTATTTTGTATTTTAAATTGGACCCCCCTGAGTAAAAATCATAGATCCGTCACTGGATAATCTTATGGAAGTTTGTGCAATCACACAGGAAAAAACTGGAGGGAAAATTATATACCACAGAGGTGGTGTCGTATACCTTTTTCGTGGAAGAAACTATAACTTTAACTCTCGACCACGCTTTCCTCTTATGTTGTGGAAGCCCATTACCCCAGTGTACCCAAGACTGGTTAAACGAGTTCCCGAGGGTTTGACTTTGGAAGAAGCAAGTGATATGCGAAAAAGAGGTCGTCATCTATCGCCAATATGCAAGCTTGGTATGTTATTGCATTTATTCAATTTTTCCTAGGAGATTGGTGAAAAATATGTACTGTTTCAAATTTGCGTTAAACTTGGGATCATATTTGTATTGTGTTTTTGGCAGCAAAAAATGGAGTTTACGTTGACCTTGTGAAGAATGTCAGGGAGGCGTTTGAAGCCTGTGAGCTAGTGAGGATCGATTGTCAGGGACTGAACCCGAGCGACTACAAAAAAATAGGTGCCAAACTCAAGGTACTATCTGATTTGTCAATTTTCGAAAGAAAAATGAATGCATCGTTGAGGATTTTGGTTGAATTTCTAAAATTCTTCAACTGCAGGATCTCGTACCTTGTGTTCTATTATCATTTGAACAAGAACACATGCTCATGTGGAGAGGACGTGATTGGAAGTCTGTGCTTGAACTGGGAGAGAGCCGAACAAGTTTGCAGCAAGGAAATAGCAATGTTAAAGCTAGCGAACTATTAACACCATCATCATCACCTACTGTTCCAAACTCTATTAGCAAGGAGAACATTCTCGAAACAAGGTTAGAGCCTTTGCCTGCAAGCTTTTGTGGTGAGGATACTTTACAAGCACCCAATCAAATAGTTGAGAGCAATACTAATATGGAAAACAATGGAAGCAGTGAAACTGCATTCAGCATCTCCCCAGTGGTTTCCTTTGATGAGCAGTTAAATTGCACAAACAAGCAAATGAATTCCAGCATCATGCCCTGTACTGAAGGAATTCTGTTGCTCAGAGAACAAGCTGTTGAAAGTGGGATGGCATTTTTGTTGGATGATCGTAATTTAGATGCTGATATTGTTTTTAAGGAGTCTGTTGCTTTTGCCAAGACTGCTCCGGCTGGCCCTGTCTTTAGGTGGCGGCGTAAGGAGAAGTTAGCAGCAGCTGCTGAAGAAAAGAAGGAACAAGAATGTGACGATTTAGATGGAGCTGTTTTAGGGATGAAATCAACTGTTTCTGTCAGGAGAAATGAAAGAAAGACTGATATTAATGAGAATATGAAAGAAATTAGAGGAGATTATCTCAACGTAGTTGGTCGAGGGAGCCTGGGTGTTGATGAACTTGCCAAATTACTAGCTTGATGCAACTCGTACTGAATTATTAGTACCCTTGTGTACTGTGTAGATTGTTACTTGAACTTCAAGGTTATTTTATTCATAAGACGACTGTCTTTGCCTCATTGTTGGTTTAATACTCTGCACATGTACATCACAAATCACAAGAAATGTGTGATAGCTGCTGCAATGTAAGTGTTAGCCTATCAAACTGCGACGATGTATATATGTCTTTTTTTTTGCAATTGAGTACTTGCCTCTTTTTTTGCAATTGAGTACTTGTCTCAATTCATATAGATGCCTCTTGTTATTGCAACCGAGTATATATATATATGTGTGTGTGTGTGTGTGTGTGTGTGTGTGTGTTCATGGAGAGCACCAATACTATTGAAAACTCTCCCGGATTAAGAATTCTAAAATAGGCTATATGTTGATTTGGGTTGGCCATGCCAATAAACTTGGGAGGTTGATATCAACCTTATGAGATGACTATGAGATGACTTAGGACTATTATCAAACTTATATTGACGTGTCCCATGATGAAATTTTCGAATTGATCAACGGGCCATTCCCTCTTACCTGGAATGTCGGAGTTTTCTCTCTTTCGTCTTATTGTCGGGACGTTTCAACCTCGTCAGTCTTCCAAATTTTTGGTCCATCATGCAGCTCGGTTAATTTTATTTTAAAATTTTTTTAAATTGTCAAATATGTATCAAATATTTTTTTTAGATTTTGATTCTCTCATTTATTTTTATTTTAAATTTAAATTCATATTATTGAATTTAAATTTGAACTAATATCAATCATCAATTACCTCGGTCATTTGATTTTCCTCAAGACGAACGGACACACGGACTGGGATGTGCTTTTCGGTCGAGAGTCCGAGACATTGTATTGTGGCAAGCAAACGCAGGCTAAAGCCGCTAAACACAAAACCTTCAGATGAGATGTGTACTCTAATCTAACCGTTGAATTTATAAAATTGAATTTCACAAACGAAGCTAGAGAGGGAGGATTGAAGAAGAGACCCCAAAGCCCCGGCATCGTCTTTGAAAAATTCCCACCATTTCCTCACTGCACATTCATGTTGATATTTGGGACATCATCTGTATACATATACATACAGATCAATGATCCTGCAGTTGTACGTAGGCTTGGTTACTGCTATTCGAGGATTCTTTTTCGTTTTCTCTTCGTTCGAATTTGAGCTCTCGGGGATAATTTAACTTTTTAGAGTTTCGAATTTCTAATTTGGTTCTTTCTTTCTGGGGGAGTGAAATCCGTATTGAAATAGGGATGTATAGAAGAAAAATCAGTGTAATTCCAGTTAAATTTGTGTGAGGTTCTTGTCGATTTCTTTCTTCTTCTTCTTCTTGAGAAGTTTTTGTTTGGAGAATTAAAATTCATAGTCGTGTCACAGGAATTCTTTTATTTTTGTATTGATTTATTTAAATGGAACAAAGGGACGGAGGGGATTTCCCTCCAAATAAGCCGACGTCGCAATTGGAAGCTTCTTCCACGGTGCCAGCGGATTTTCCGGCGAGGAAGCTTGTAAGGCAGCTGGATTTTACTGGTTCCGCCGCCTCTACATTAAGTGTGGAACACCCACCGGTTGGGAAGCCACAGTTTGGAAAGCTGTCCCAGACACAAAAGCCAGCACATATTCAGCAGCCACAAATGCTTTTTATGGCGATGCAACAGCCTCCGCAACCAGCTGTGGCATCCCCTCATCCATCCGTACACTCTCTTGTGTGAGTTCTTTCTTCAGTTTTCTTGAAAATATTGTTTATTGTTTAATTATGATCAAGGTTGATACTTTTTTCTTTTGGGTGGGAGAGGGATTCAAATCTTGATATTTCTGGAAAACTCATTCTACATTTTTCTGGTAGTACTTTCTGATTCCGTTTGTAATTTTTTATATTTGATAACTTTGACTGATCATTTTTTTAGCATTTACTTGTAGAAACATCCACATTGTGGTATAAATTTTAGAAACACCAAGACTAGAATTTTTTTCTTGTAATATTAGAAACTCTCCTGTGTTCTTTAGTTTTCTGGTACTGGGTTGAGACAGTGAGAGATCCACATGATAATTTCTTATGTTTTGGACTTTGAGTACCTGAGATGTTAGAATTTGAGCCGTGTGATTGGTGATTTGGTTATTTGTTTGTGCTTCCCTGAAGTGAATTCGTGAGCTATTTCAATGACACGATTTAAGTGAAAAAATTCTGATACGAGCTCTGTGGATGTGTCAATATGTTGGCCAAGCCAGTTGATGGGTTGACTACATTATTAGAATGATGGTGTATTATTGTAAGTACTGTTTTACATCTTCCATACATGATGCTTTGAGTTTATTTGTTACTGATAGCTGGAATATTTGTGGTAAGTGAAAGATTAGTTGTAACTGTTTATGTGGCCTTCTTTGGTGAAAGATAGAAATATAATACTAGGATAATTTTTTCATACAATTCTTGTCGTTTGCCCAATTAGTTTCCGACAAAGTAGACTCAATCCTCACTTATCATAAAATTCAAAGAAAAGAAAGGAAAACACTAGATCACAAATCTCTTGATACTAACCTGTGAAAACATAATACATGATCTGTGCCTATTCTTGTAACATACTCACTTAAGTATGTTCGCTCTGAGAACACAATATTGTTTAGAGTGGTAGTCTTTGGCTTTTGTATTGCTATTTATACTTACCGTTCTTCAGGAAACCTGTATCCCCAAGAACTTGGCCTAGACAAAGTGTGAATGAAGTCAAAGATGGTACACCAAAGAAGCAAAAGCAATGCAACTGCAAGCATTCACGTTGTCTGAAGCTGTAAGCAGCTGCTACTTTTCACTCTTGGGTTTATTTAAAACTGAACTAGTGGATTTCCATTTTCTTCACATTCTTCCAGTGAATTTTGTGAAGCATATTCTGAAACACAAGCAATGGCTAATTACTGATAGAATTATGCACATGAAGCATTGAGTTCTGTTCAGGTGCAGTTAACTTCAATATATGGATTATATTATCGGTGAGCTATTCCAGAAAATAATATATTTTCTAGTTCCAACCAGATTTATCTTTCCTCTCTTCCTTTGAGCTAGCTTTCGGGGATGAGTTCTACCCAAACCCATTTATCATGGCATCAGAGATATCAGAGCAGTTTTGTTTGTTTGGAGGACCCCCAACCCATTTGGTTTGTCAAGCTGCGTTTGAGGGCAGGTGTTAGAAGTTATGTTTGGCCCACATTGATTAGTTATTGGGCTGTTATTGTATATAAGTGTGGGCTGCGCATCCTCTACCTTTGAGCTAACTTTTGGGGATGAGTTGTACTCTGGCTCATTTATCATGGTATCAAAGCCATATTTTGTTTGTTTGGAGGCGATCTTGGGTTTGGACCCGATCCACTTTGTTTGGCACGCTCCGCGTGAGGGCGGGTGTTAAAGTTTTGTTTGTCCACATAGTTACTGGCTGTTATTGTGCATAAGTGTTGGTTGGGCACCCTGTTCCTTTGAGCTAGTTTTTGGGGTTGAGTTCTACCCAAGCCCATTTATCACCAGTATTATCTCTTAATGCTATTTTGCTCGATTGGGGATAATGCATTTTCAACCAATTTCATGTTCAGGTACTGTGAATGTTTTGCATCTGGAATCTACTGCGATGGTTGCAACTGTGTGAACTGTCATAATAATGTCGAAAATGAAGCTGCCAGACGCGAAGCAGTTGAGGTTACTCTGGAGCGTAATCCAAATGCTTTTAGGCCAAAAATTGCTAGCAGTCCACATGGAGCTCGGGATCACAGGGTACTTTGTGATTTCAAATTTCCATCTCACATGCATTTTCATATAGAGTATCAGCTGGGGATTATTATCTTTCTTAATTACCATATCTTTTCTGTTCTATTTAATTACATGTGATTCGTTTTACTGGCTTTTTGGTGTCTAACGAGTTACACCTCTTCAGTTAGATGCTGCATGTTGCTTCTGATTCTTCCCGTTAATCACAATGTTAAATACAACCGATTGTTTGACCTTCTTTTCTTTGAGTTAGAGCTACTTAAAAACTTTTATTTTTACTTCTATTATACCTCTATGAAAGAATGATGGAAATCGATAGTATTTGCTTCTCTATTGCACATGTCAAGTAATGTTCGGTAATTCTGAATTGAGCCTTTTAGTGGAAGTACTATAATATTTGAGAAATAATACTTCACTTTTTTAAATTTTATGATTTATAAATTCATTTGATAATTGCAAATGTTTTAGTGTAACACGAAAACCTCTTTCACAGTTTTATCCAAGAAGAAATTCACAGTTAAACCTAGGGTTTTGGATGAACGTCTTCCTTTGGTGTGAATGATCATATATATAGAGTTCTTCATCGGCTATATTGGCGTTATGGGCCTATGATATACGTATACAGGTCTTTATATACTTAACAATCTCTTGCTTGGTATTACCAAAATAGTAATGCAAACTTTTCTTTCCATTGAAAAGAGGAGGAATATTTAAGGGTGTATCCATTTAACCTCTGTATGTTGTGCATAAAGTCAAACAGTAGATCTGGTCCATTTGATTTGAAGTCATTTGTTGAACTAAATGGTTCATCTGCAGTCCGTCGAATATGAATGATAAACTTCCATCCAATTTATTGTTCACTATATATTTACACGTCATTACTTTATGAAAACTATGCAGGAAGATGCTGGTGAAGTTTTAGTTTCAGCAAAGCATAACAAAGGTTGTCACTGTAAGAAGTCAGGATGCCTTAAGAAGTACTGTGAGTGCTTCCAAGCAAATATTCTTTGTTCTGAGAATTGTAAATGCATGGACTGCAAAAATTATGAAGGAAGTGAAGAGAGACAGGCTCTCTTTCATGGAGATCATGCCAATAACATTGTCCATATCCAGCAGGCAGCAAATGCTGCCATCACAGGTGCTATTGGATCTTCTGGTTTTGGGTCTCCTCCATTGAATAAGAAAAGAAAAGGTCAAGAGATCTTCTTTAGGTCAGCAGCTAAGGATCCTGCACATCGGCTTGGACAGTTACAACAGGTAATTTTTTGTAATTTGAAAAATTATCATCCTGTTAGTTGGTTCTTGGGATAGAAAGGTGGTCATTGAAAACCACTTTGTTTGAAGCTCAAGATAAACCTCGAGTGCTCTGGCCTCTTGAGTTTGAGATAATTGAGTTTTATTAATTATGTGAATGTGTTTAACCTGGCTTGAGTTTTACGTGTGGCAGTAAAATCTCATAAAATGTGTGCTAAGATTCTAACTCTCTGGTTCTGCCTGAATCAGGACAAGTCGGGTTAACTTTGAAGTACTCTGTAAAATCTTTATTACATGAAGCTCACCAAAAATTGAATTTTGTGAAAGTATATCTTATTAATGGTTGATAATTGATATGCAACTATGCTTCATAATATCTAATAATGTGTAGCAGTTAAAGAAACTCTTATGCTGGGTATTACTTTTTTGGATGAATCTTATTTTACTCATAACTCAATACTAACTCACGAATGAGACTTCCACATTTTGGCATGCCCTCAGTTGTCATTTCAGGCAGATGTTTATTGGTTCCATATAATTAAAAAAATAAATAAACAATAATAAGTAAAAGCTATCATTGCATTCTCATATTTTTTTTGAGTTGAAGTTACTGAAGCTCCTAGATAAGGAGTCTGTTAAACATGAACTAGTACAGTTGCCCGTGCATTTGCACGGGAGCTACAAAAAAAAAGTCATTAAACATTTGCAATTCATACAAATTCATAACGATTAAATATTATTGAACAATTCTCTATATACAATGTTCTTCGTCTTTGAGCTTTATTTATCATCACAAATTAATAATTTCAATCCTTTCACATTTGTAACTATGAAACAGCGACATAAAGTTTTGAGCTATTTTTATCATCACATATTAATATTTTCTATCATTTCTCATTTGTAACTCGTGAAACAGCAACGTAAAGTTGGTCATGCGTAAATACAGAGTTCTTCAGGTATGACATTCATATAAATTAATCCTCAATAACTAAAATATATATTTTATTTTTGATATGCATAAGGTATATAATTACCGATCAATAATAAGTCCTTACAAACGGAAGCTTTAGCCAAATCGATAAAATTTTTGAAGTTATATATAAACTTCGGGAAAATTTTATTTGAAGTTTCACCATAAAATTTATCTTCAATCTTGCCATAGTAGTTTTATCAATTCCAGATAATGGTATTTCGATCTTGAAAGCAGTCATTTCATAATATCGACTTTGACACTCCATTCTGTTTTTTATACCTTCTTAGAAGTGTGTAAGCAATTGTTTGAACAAGATGTGAGAGAGATGTGAATGTGATGGTACATAAATGAATAATCAATTGTGTATTTATAAACTACAACATATATATATCTTACTAAATAAAAAATGATTTGCACTATTCAAGCCACTAACAATGTAACTTACAAACGTGTGTTAACTTCTTTCTGACTTTAACTTCCAAACTGACTTTCATGCTTTTAGGGTGTATTTTTAACATCTAACACTTTCATGGTTTTAGAGTATATTTTTAACATCTAACAAAACTTAAAACGTGTGTTAACTTCTAACACTTTTATGGTTTTAGGGTGTATTTTTAACATTTAACAAAACTTAAAACGTGTGTTAACTTCTATCTGACTTTAATTTCCAAACTGACTTTCATGGTTTTAGGGGTGTATTTTTAACTTCCAACTTAAAACGTGTGTTAACTTCTAACACTTTCATGGTTTTAGGGTGTATTTTTAACATCTAACAAAACTTAAAACGTGTGTTAACTTCTATCTGACTTGAATTTCCAAACTGACTTTCATGGTTTTAGGGGTGTATTTTTAACTTCCATATGTTAGACTGTTGTTAATACTTTTAAAATTAAAAATCTAAAACAAAATACTTTATGAACATAAATTTATAAGTCTAAAATAATTAACTACCTACCATTTAACATTTAAGTCATATTTTTATGTTATCGCGATATTACCAATAAATACAAAAGGTATTTACGAAATACTCTTTATTTATATTATGTAATTTAATATTTATTACATATATTGCATATTGCATATATATATATATATAATACTATTTGTTTAATTGATTAATTTAATACTTTAAAATATCACTTTCATGGTTTTGGGGGTGTATTTTTAACGTGTTACAAACCGTGTGTTAATAACACGTGTAAAAGAATGTGAGAATTTTCCAAAAATAGTAAGTGTGTGGTATGACCCACATAAAACTTTCTAAAAATGGCAAGTGTGTTGCCTAATTATATAGTAGATAGATGCGCATTTCGCGGAAGATAAAGAATCTGGATGAGGAGTGCCTACATGTTATGACCATTAGTCGTGATCTCTAGGTTGCATAATTTGTATTACATATGTGACGAGGAAAGTTAACTAGTGATGTGATATACTTTTCTGGTGTTATTTGACAATACAAAATTTAAAATGGCAACCTTTAGGATTTTGAAAACTTGGGCTAGTTTTAAAAGTTAATGGCCCAAACTTGTGAATAATGTTTGACTAGTACGACACCCGTGTACCACACGGGTGTTTGAAAACAAAAAATTGTATAATAAAAATTGTACAACAAATAATGAATAACTAAGAAAGTAATGAATAACTAAGAGTGAAACTATTTTAAATGACACGTTTTTACCCTCAAATTGTAAAAAAAGTATATTTTAATTACATCTATAAAGTTATATATGTCTAACACAAATATTATTTACAACTTTGCTAGTTTGATTTTAAATTTTTTAAAATTCTTTACGAACATGATTCCATACAATAATGTTTTTAAAAACTAAATTATGAAGCACAAAATTTTACTATGTCAGCATCGAAGCATGCGAGCTGCCACTTAGACTCAACATATTTTGAATTAATATATAGGGGGATAAGTTACTTATTTGAGTGTGTACCTAATAGTTATGCTCCAACCATAAAGTGTACACTTTGGCCACCTATCGATTTTTCAGTTTTCTTTTCAGTTTTTAGAGTTTTTCCTTTCCTGGTTTTTGTTTTAGTTTTTCCCATTGGGTTTCAGATTTTTAAGGTTTTTAGTATTTGTTTTTAAATTTTTTTGGGTTTTGTTTTTTTTTTCCCCATTTTGTTCTTCATCTCTCAGGCTTCATTTCTCAGCCTTTTTAGTTATTTTATTGAGATTTCTATTTTTGGAATTTTTGCATTATTTCTATCTTTTTGGCGTCTCAAGATCTGTCAGATGTCCAACAGGAGTGTCCTTATTGGGATTATCAAAACTATTGTGCTATGGACTGGATAGTAATTGATTGCACAAATATTTGCACTGTAAAAACTGGGTTCCATAACATCTTATTTACTTTATACTTCGTCCCTTTCTCTTCCTCGATTATTTGCTCGAGGAACTTATGTGTAATTTCTCCAATTGCAGGCTAACGAAGTCAACGTTTCTGTACCTTCTTCCTCGTCATTCTCTTTATCTCCTGGCGCTCGCCCTGGTAATACATCAGTCATGAGCCATTCAAAGTTTACCTACAGGTATACATTACATTCCTTATGATGAATCATTTTTTACTGTTTCTTTAGATATCTGATAATGGCATTTCATTGCAAGGTCTCTTTTAGCTGATATCATTCAGCCCCAGGATTTGAAGGAGTTGTGCTCAGTGCTTGTTGTATATTCAGGAGAAGCTGCTATGATGCTTGCAGGTGCGTAGGGTAACAATTTATCCAAAGATATTCACCTGTGGAGTTTATAGGAACCTATGCTTAAATTCTCTCATGTTGATAATCTATAATTTATCTGTTTGACAAAAATGACACACTATAATTATTTTTTAAAGTTACTAATGTAATTTTTTCATTAACGTTGAGGAGTTATAATTTAATAGTTGCATTCATTTTTCAATTCTGAAAACCTGACCTGCTATTAATGGAGTAAGACCACTGTGAGTCGGTTCAACTGAGCGAATTGGTGGCTAAGCGATCTTTCTCCCTTTCGTTTGTGTTCATTCGACCCTTCACCTCAAATCTTGTTCATGCTTTATTTTTATTTGTTTGTTTTATCTTTGATCTTATTCATTTTTTATTATGTATTTATGTATTCGATAATTTATTTTTTTTAGTTGATATAAAGACATTAAAATTATCTAAGAAAATATAGAAATTTAAAACAAATAAAAAAAATAGAACTTAAGGTGATTGATGCATGGATAACTTTTATTTTTCTTAATGTTGTATGAGATCTTTAAATTTTTGGATAAGCATATATTTCTAATATCTCTTTATTACTTAGCTTATGTTTTTTAACTATCAAAAGAACAATTAAAATTTCAAATATTATTTTTACAAATTTGATGCCAATTTCAAATAAACCAAGTTACGTTTTAATTTCTTTCTTTGTTATATTATTTCATACTACTTTATATTTATACTCCCTCCTATTCTTTTTAGATGTCGTTTTGTGCTTTAACACATAAATTAAGATATTTTTTCTTGCTAATATTACCCTTAGTTAAAGCAAATAAACATTAATTAATTTTTTTCTTTTCACATTTTTTCTTATGTTCTTTTAAGAGAAAAAACTCATCGTCTTCCACAACTTTCCTCCCAAAACATGTAGTGTATTAGTTAAATGAGGATAACAATGAAAAAAAGTATGTATAAAATATTCAAAGCGTCATTAATTTGATTAATGATCAATAAAACTAAAATCCTTGGTTTGTAACAAGGATGAGGTGCTTGCCTTATTGAAGAGAGGCGAGCCTATATGAAGAATTTGTCCTGGGCCTTATAAACTCGCAGTGTTGTTAAATAGCGGCCATGGTTGTATGGCGTTGCGGTTTTTAGCCTAATCGCCATGTTATAACCGCCTTGTGGCGGTTTTTCAATGGCGGTGCCATTGCTGCTGCCTTGAACATTATGTTCATGGCAGTGTGTTGCTGATGGCGTAAAATGATGGATTTTACCTAGATTCTGCCCTTAAACGAAAGGAAACGTAATTGGACCGACCCAATTTTGCCAAAATCAGCCTTGGATCTGTTGAGAAATAAAAATCAAGATGCTTTAATTGTTGCGAGAAAGAGAAAGTAACGGGAAGAGCCACCCTCCGGCGAGTCCGTCTTCTGGCGACCCAATCTCCAGCCACTTACCCTCCGGCGACTGTTATTTATATCTTTCTTTCTTTTTCCTTTTCCCTGTTCTCTTCTCATTTTTCCTCTTCTGTTTTTATCTTCTTTCAGATCCTTTTTTTATCTTTCGTCTTTTGGTACTCCCTATGCTCCCACACCTCTTCTTTATGATAATACTGGGGCCATACAAATTGCCAATCATCCCATTAGGCATGAACTTAAAAAATATATTGGTGTCGATGCTTCCTTTATATGAGACAGTTGTTCTTAAGTATGTGCCGCCATCAGAGGCAAATTTTTCTTTAGTATCGACTTCAGTTGCTCAAACTCGATGCTTCACATCCTCTGCTTCCATCTTGAGTTTGGAAAGGGGTGTTAGATATATCATAGGCCCATATAGATTATTGAGAACTCTATATATTTGGTCACCACCACCAGTTGAAAACATGGTCTAAAATCCCTAGGTTTGTAACAAAATGAAGGAGTGAACCCCCACTACAACTTAATAACCAAATTAAGGTATCATACAAAGGTTTTGGTACTTCCAAACCTTTTGTGGGTTTCTTTGTTATACTCCGTACATCAGTGGTCCACCACTTTACCAATACTGATTATGTATTTGGTATTACTCTCTTAGAAAATTTTGAAAATGCTTGAGGGGCGAGGTACATAAGTCACCAGATTGTACATGAGGACATCTTGTGGCCTCCCAGGAGTTTTGCTTGTATTTGTTTACATAACCTCATTCTACACGTCAACCCAACTTTTGTAGGCTAGGTATTGTTATAACACTGAAATAAAAGATTATAGAATATTGTCAGTCCTTTGTATTTCCTAACTTCAAATTTAGTATTTGTTTTGAAATTACCTTCGTTGGGATGAAATCTGTATGATAGAAACAACTATTAATGGAGTTAGGATTCCTATGTCAGTTCACAGTTTTACAATCAAATTCTATAAACTTGAAATGCAGCAAATAAACGAGCAGAAGATTCCAGAGAAGCCCCACTGGCAGACCCTTCAAATCAAAGTCGGAGTGAAGCCAGGCCAAAAGAGTCTGATTCAAATGGAGCTGATGCATCAAAAGAAAGGCCAATGTCTCCTAGTACATTAGCTCTCATGTGTGACGAAGAAGATACGATGTTTACTTCTGCTGCTTCCTCCAGTAGGTTAATGGCCGATGATCATGTATCTTCCCAGTCGCGAGAAGAGCAAGGTTTGACAGAGGTGTATGCTGAGCAAGAAGGAATTGTTTTGACAAAGTTCCGAGATTGTCTTAACAGGCTCATCACATTAGGAGAGATAAAAGGCAAGTTTCTTCTACCATTACTTCATTTTGTGTTCTATTCTATCTCTATTGTACATTTGTTTGTTTTAAGTTTCGTTGACCATTCCATTATTGAAAATGCAATAGCCAGCACTCACAGGCGAAAACACGCAGAAACACCGAACATGAGAAGTAGCTTCTTTATTAATTGTGATATATTTATGTAATTAGCCAAAAAGTTAACTTTTTTTTTTTTTTAACCAACACCCCAGTAGGGTGGGGGGTTAAGGCCGAACCCCCAACCTGTATATAGAATGCCCTAAATGGGCCGAAAAGTCACAAAACTACAAGTCCAATGTCTGATATACATCCAGTCAAACGAAAAAACAAAAAACAAAAAACCACAAAGAAAGGAAAAAATATAGAGAAAAGCTAACAACTGCAGCCAAAAAGTTAACTTCAGCTACATTCTGTCTTGCTTGTGCTCAAATAAATTTCAGCAGCAGCCTTCTGAACTTGTAGACTTCAGGGGTTTCAAAAGGTGTAATCATAAACTAAAGTGACTGAGAAATATACTAATCATTTTGTAGTTTTTGATGCATCTATCCATCCTGTTCTGTGTCTTGCAGCAAGCTATGTTTGTAGAATAGTGTGCACATCTTAACATGAAATAATTTGATTTGAAAATTTTCCTTTTCCCAACTTAGAATGATTATTTCATTTTGTCTTTTTACCATACAGAAACAAAATATTCTGCCATGGCACGAGCACAATCAGCTAACAAGCACCTTACAACCACCTGCAGCATTTCAGATGTGAAATGTGAAACTATGAATCAACTGCCTATAACCAATGGTGGTTTCATAAAACTTGTTGGTGCTCCACAAATAAATTCTTCAGTGGATACCCCAGCATGTGGTGTCGTTAATAATCTGCCGCATCTGAGAATAACGTCTTGCGCAAATGGAGATGTAAGAAAAGAATCTGGAGAAGAGTTGTAGTTGTGTATTCTACTGGGTATCTGTATATCTTGTGATACTAGGTGATTGTTGCTACACATAGATGTCATTCTTAGAACAGATATGATCTCATGTGTATCTTTTAGACATTTTGACATTCATCAACTATATCGAACTAAGATACGAAATCTAACTGAGAAAGCATTTCACAATTAAAATATAGACAAGAAATACAGTTGATGCCCACCAGGCAAACAACAGAGGATACATGTTCAGTTGTGCTCCGACTTCGTATGTTGTGTGTGGGCTTTTCTGCTGCCCTCACAATCACTATTGTGAGTATTATGTAGAAGGGTAAGTAAGCTGTGGAAGATGAGGTGATGTTGCTGCTTGTGATGGTTCTACCTTTGCTTAAGAAGATATTATTTTCTTGATCATTTATTGTTCAAGAAACATATTGACCTTTAATTCTAATAGTTTTTTTTTTTATATATAGTGTCCAATTTTCTTTGGCCTTATTTGGGAACATTCATGGGATAAAACCATATTCCCATGTTATCCGTGATTGTTGATCGATATATCCCGTATTAGCATTTTGTTGGTTTGTATACTGAAAGTTCGATTTTTTTACAAACTTATTTTCAATTTTTGAATGAAAATCGTGTTTTGTCAAAATTGTGTATTTGCGATTTTGTCCATGTCAACTATTAATGCAAATTGTTATATTATTTTATTGAACATCAGTTCATATTTATGGTTCATAACCTAGGTAGAATTAAATAAACTATCGTGTGAACAGTTGTAGTATAAGTTTGAAAATAGTCGATCTTTACTAATGAATTGCACTACCACATTTAATAAATATTGAGCGAACAACAAAGATAAATTCATTTTATACTGGTAGCAAATGAACTAGACCTTATTTATTCATTTTATACTGGTAGCAAATGAACTAGACCTTATTTATTGCCCGTAATAAACGAGCATATATTTTTGTTACTTATTACTTTTATTTATTGAGTTAATAGTTGGGTGATTGGGTAGTAATATTGTTTATATGATGCACTGTTATTATTTATGTACACTATGTCTTGATGCGTCATTTGTTGGTTTGTATATTGAAAGCTTGATTTTATTTACAAACATTTTGAGGGGGACTCGGTATATCAATAGGCTACAGGAAGGACCATGAGGAGGTGCTAAAATGGGGCTCTCCATAGGATTGGGAAACATAGGTCCTGGTTTACCTACACCTAATACACGGTTTTGCTATGAAGCCAACAGTGAGCTTCTATATACAACAAGTAAACCTACCATATTATCTGATTACTTAAATAACACTAATATAATTTTATTAATATGGTAGGTTTATTTATTGTATATAGAAGGTTGGCTCCACTATGGAGTCAGCGGTTGACTTCATAGCAAAACCGACCTAATCCAAATGAATAATATATTATTCCACTAAAGAAATATTATTGGACTTCCTTTCTACCCCCAAATTATAATTTGGCTCCAAGTTTATTCATTCGGTTTATCTCCCCATGTTTTAAGATATAACGTCCATGTCACCGAAATGAGCTAAAAAATGATTATTATACCGAGCTCTGTAGACAGATCGAATTTTGGTATAATAATAAAAAATTAAGTAGTACTAGCTTCGAAATGAAAAGTTAATTAATTTTATTGTTATTAATTAAATGAACTAACTGTTGGTACCCAATTTGGCTGCAGTTAATAAATAAATAGAAAGTACGAACAGAAAGTAGTCGGGACCACATATGATGAATTGTAACTTGTACTACATATAGTGCATAGTACATGTAGTACAATTGTGCTACACTATAAACTAATTATATACAAAGCCTCAATGATGAAGAGAGAGGAGGAGAGATTCATTCGTTCAAAAAAGAGCAAAACATCAAAACAAAATTCTCTGAGAGGCAATAATATTTTTCTTGTGTTTTCTATAATTTAATTCGTGTATTCTTCTCATAAAAAGATATATCAAAAAATCATGAATAGAAGAGAGATTCAACCCATATTTCCAGAATAAATCTATTCGTGCAAATCCTGTTGCTGATATTTTTGAGCATCAACAAATGGGGCTAGAAGGAGTGCCTCATCATTTGTTAAATGAGGTAATTTTTCACCTGGTGGAACACCACATAAAACCCCAATTTTCATAGCATAAGGAAATGTTCTATACAATTTTTTTTAAGTTCGTCTCATCTCTGGACTCTCCACTGGTCTAGTTTGCTATCTTCACGACTTATTTAATTCCTTCGTAAGCCGCAACAAAGTTTATGGAATATGAGACTTCATCCTCAAAATGAAAAAAATAAATAAATAAATAAAATGCCTTGGGCAGGCTTAAAAGTTCCAGAATCAAGTCAAAGAAAATCAAATGAGATCAATTGCGGCCACATGTGTGCTTTTATTTGTATATGTATATTTATCATTTACATTTGAGGTTGTGGAAGAAAAAAAAAATAGAAAAAAAAAAAGAGAGGGATAGGAGTTGCAGAAGTTGAACGAAAAGGGATAACATACTTCCCTTGGACTCAAATTCGCCACGACACCATCTTCTTCTCACTTAAAAGGACGGCTTGCTCGGATCTTCACCTCATATCTGGCCCACATCTCTCAACGACCGAACTCGGTCACAACCCCTCATCCATTGTCGAACCCGAACAACAGACGACATTCGGGCCGAATCGTCAACCATCCTCGCACCGAACCTGCAACTGTCCGCGTGCCGAACCGACCACCATCTGCAGCCAAACACGGATCTTGCATCACAGCTGGACCGAATCCCCGTCACGAACAGGAACCTGAAGAAAAGGAGCAAAAGAACCGACTTCGCCAGACAGTAATATTCTTAGGCCTCCACTCTGCACCGACCCCAGGTAATCCTACACTCAATTTCATTATAAATACAAACATACATACATATATGTATATGTATATATATATATATATACACACATAAAAAATAAATATGTACATGTATGTATACATACACCCAAAAAAAAAAGTAAAAAAGAGAAAGAAAGAACGAAAAAGCCAAAGTCGCAACAACTATTTGACGACAGATCCCCACATCGTAACGGAGACCAACCACTCTGGCGTCAGAATCAATCCGCTGAACGGACAACCACCCGCGGGCCGAACTAAAGGTAACCGACCACAATTGAGACGAACATGTCTCCACTCGGTGTGTCGGAACCTGCGAGTGGTACAAAAGCGACAAGCATATCACCTGATCTGAAAAATGCCAAGCCACGTGATCACGGTCAAGCTTGAAATCACGATCAAATCACGGACCATCAAGCTGATTGTCGCCGAAATAATCATCCAGCCTTCATTGACAGGCCGACGTCATTATTTCACTCGTCGTTGAGCTCTTGCTCCGGCAATGTCAATGTCTCCATCCAGCCCGCCGACGAGCCCCTGCCAGCCGGGTCGATCTCATTATTTCGCCCGCCGTTGAGCCATCGCTCCGGCCAGGCTGACATCTCCACTTAGCCCGCTGACGAGCCCCTGCTCTGCCGGGCCGGCCTCATTATTTCACCCGCCGTTGAGCCATCGCTCCGGCCAGGCCGACATCTCCACCTAGCCCGCCGACGAGCCCCTGCTCTGCCAGGCCGATTTCATTATTTCGCCTGCCATCGAGCCATCGCTCCGGCCAGTCCGACATCTCCACCTAGCCCGCCGACGAGCCCCTGCTCTGCCAGGCCGACCTCATTATTTCACCCGCCGTTGAGCCATCGCTCCGGCCAGGCCAACATCTCTACCAAGCCCGCCGACGAGCCCCAGCTCTACCGGGCTTATTTATTATTCGTTCGCAGACACACCCAGTCCCACCGGACCGACTTATTTGCTCGTTTTCAACCACATTTATCAATGTCGAGGCTGAATTAACTTACCTGCGATGAGGCCGAGTTCACTTATCAATTTCGGGGTCGAATTTATCCTCGCCGTAGAGTCTTGACTCCGGCTGAGTCGACATCTATATTTCCTCCGGCTGAGTCGACATTTATATTACCTCGCCGTAGAGTCTCGACTCCGGTTGAGTCGACATTTATATTACCTCGTCGTAGAGTCTCAGCTCCGGCTAAGTCGACATTTATATTTCCTCGCCGTAGAGCCTCGACTCCGGCTGAGTCGACATTTATATTACCTCGCCATAGAGTCTCGACTCCGGTTGAGTCGACATCTATATTTCCTCGCCGTAGAGTCTCGACTCCAACTGAGTCGACATTTATATTTTCTCGCCGTAGAGCCTCGACTCCAGCTGAGTCGACATTTATGTTTCCTCGCTGTAGAATCTCGACTCTGACTGAGTCGACATCCAAATTTCATCGTCGTAGAGCCTCGACTCCGGCTGAACCAACATCCATATTTCACTCGCCACAGAGCTTCGATTCCGACTGAATCTATGAGCCATGAGGCCGAAATGCCATAAAACTATGAGCCGCAAAAAATGAATGAAACCCCATTAGGGTAAAACGACCAGACAACGTAAATTTGTCCGGCGTAACTAATGTCATTAGGGTAATAAGGCTGACCGGCGCAAAATGAAAACGACCGGGCAACGTAAATTTGTTCGGCGTTAAAATATGACCTTGTTAAGGTAATAAGTCCGGAGAATATAAATCTGTCCGGTGCAAAACAAATAAAACCCAATAAGGGTAAACGACCGGTTAACGTAAATTTATCCGGTGCAAAATGAACAAAATCATACGGGGATAATCGACCCCACAACCGGACAGCGTGTTTGTCTCATTTTTGTTGCGTTTTTCGTGTTTATTTTATCTTTCTTTTTCACCCATTTTAGGTCGTTTCTTTAGTTTTTAGTCCGTTTCGTGTTTTATTATGTGTTTTCCTTCACCATGAGTCTTTAGGTGTTTTTTGTCTGTTTTTCCGGTTTTCTTTTGTGTTTTGTCGTTTTTGGTGTGTAGGTCAGGAGCTTTGGGCGAATTTTCTCTTCAGGAAAAGTTGGTTTTGAGAGCATAACTGGATAGATGGGTTCGTTGGTGACACATAGCAAAAAACGGAATTCAATTCCGAGTTCGGACGAGCCCAAACGAGCTCGAAACGTAAAGCAGTGCGCAGCTGCCCAGTTTTCTTCACTGCGGCCTCGGAGGAGAGAATCCCGCGGCCGCGGAGCCCTTCTGCAGCTGTAATCTCGCGGCCTCGGAGCTTCCCGCGGCCGTGGAGGTCGCGACCAGAATTTTAAAAGCTAGATTTTGTTCGTTTTTTCGAGGACTTTGCATTGGGACTCGTTCCCAGACCAAAGAAATCCCCCAAAAACCCATTTTTCCCCTTCTCTTACCTTTAGAACACCATCTTGATCTTGTTTTTAACTTGGATTTCTTCATTACTTTCATATAATCTTGTATTTCAGATTCAACTCTCAATTCCGTTTTAATCATAAGTTTTCTATTCATTTAATCCATGATATGATTGCTTTGATTGTTGTGGTTGATGGTGTTGAATTGAATATGAGTGGCTAAACCCTATTGCTAGGGATAGGAGATGATGTTTTGGGTTCGTTTGTGATTATTGTGTTCGTTGATTGTTCAATTCATACGAGTTATTCTTAAATAGGGTTTTCGATGATTATGCTTGAATGCTAAGAATTGTTGAAGGGTGA